ATTGTTGACATGTAAATAATAACTCATCCCAAAAATTTAGACAGAAATGATTGAACTCTACAATAGCTATTCAAAATTAAATACCAGCTATCGTGGGCTGGCGCTACAGAATCACTAACAAAAGAAAACTATACCAGATAAATGTATATAATTTGTGTGACTTTCAACAGCTGCAACAGTTGAAAGGGATAGCACATGAAACTCGAAGAGAAAACAGTGGCATAACAAATGTTCCTTACTACTTTAAACAAAAAAGTAAGAAGGAACCCAGCCACCCGTCAATACTGAAAAGATCCATAACAGCTACTGGACTTGAGAAACATTTTTTTTGTTTATCATTTCACCCGAAGCAAAGCGGTAACGCCACAATGACAAGGGCTTAATGGGAGTGATAGAGAATGAGAAGTCTTTAAAAGAGGTAATCTGAAACGCTATACTAAACAGGAAACAAGGGATAAACCTCTACCCTTGTTCAAAAGACGGGAAGTAGGAATTTATAAAAATTCTTTCTTTTTTTAAAATCTTTCTCTTACTAATTTTAACTGAAACCAACACTGGCTGCTCGGTCATTGAATGCTGAGTGTTTTCATATAAGGAAACGCTTAATATTACCATTCTATCAGAAGATGAGACCATATTGAAATCGGTTAATGAAGTGACTGCTTGATAACCTTTGCTTCCGCGAGACAATCCTCAAAGTGGAAGTGACTGAAAAGAATACCACACGTTGACCAAAAAATTCTTAGTGGAATTTGGTTCCCGAAATTGTTCAGAATCCATCCATGCCTATGCTAGAACGGATTCACCGGAAGTTCCTAATGATATTCTTCAACTTCTGATCACGCCAAATTACGCGAGATCTCTTAGAAACTGTAACCAGTGTTCTAGATTGGGAAATCTTGATTTCTTTTTAATCATTTCACCCGAAGCGAAGTTATAACTCCACTAAGATGCAAGGCGTTACTCGGAGTGACAGAGAATGAGGAAACGTTAAGTGAAAATCCAGTCCTAAATAGAAAACAAGGAATAAACCTAGACTCTTGTTCAAAAGACGGTCAGAAGGAATTGTCTTAAGAGAAAGAATGTTATTATTTCCAGCCGACAGCAAAACTGGCTCTTCGGTCATTGAATGCTCAATGTTTCTTTATAAGGAAACGCCTATTATTACCATTACGATTATAGATGGATAGAACAGATACTACACTTTGATCCTAACACGATGGCCAGAGAATGAAGAAAAAGGTAGCTCGAGTGGTACCGGCTGTTCGATCAATGAATGCAGACCGTTTCTTTATAAGGAAACATTTATTATTAATATTACCATTGATATATACTTGATATTCATTATATCGCTGTTGCTGTAGCCCCAGAAATATTTTCGCTTTCTACATCTGTATTCTGAATGAAATTCTTCTCCGCGCAATTTTTGTCTAGCTTTCTCTCTCTCTCTCTCTCTCTCTATATATATATATATATATATATATATATATATATATATATATATATGTTTGTCGAATCAATGATATTTACCTTACCCTAGTGTATATATATATATATATATATATATATATATATATATATATATATAGCTACACAAAAGTTGCGCGGAGAACAATTTCATTCAGAATACAGATGTAGAAACCGAAAATATTTCTGGGGTTACAACAACAGCGATATAATGAATATCACTTATATATATATATATATATATATATATATATATATATATATATATATATATATATATATATATATACACACACGAGGGGTAAAATATCATTGCTTCGATATATATATATATATATATATATATATATATATATATATATATATATATATATATATATATATATATATATATATATATATCATATTGTCTATAAAGGAAATCGCTTATACTTTACAGTGGAAAAGTTCGAGAACTAAAGATAGCTTTTCAGATTTATGTCGGAAAAACGATAGCAATATTTTCTTTTTATTAGCCCGTAACTTCCACAAGTTGTTTAATAACATTTTTCCTTCGATATACAGTTAGTTGAATATTTCTGCTCTCCTGCGATCATATCAATAAATCTTTTCGGCAATCGGCAATCTGCAGACACAGATATCTGCGACATGCAGCGTCGTATATATGAATCTTTTTTTCTTCTTTTCACTGAACGATTGTTTTGATAGTTATTGTTAAAAGCGTCATAATTAGTATTTATACAAACTATACAGAACGGACAGAAATAAATCTCTATGGCTGTGCTTATATAACATTCTCAACGATCTTCTAGCAAACATCAGTATCAACTGAACTGATAGAAATGAATCCAGCCATGAGACTCGGGTTCAAATCACATAATAGTAAATTTATCAGAAATGTAACTTTTTTGATATTTTTGATCTGGAGAAGAAATCCCATCATGCGGGACATCCGATAGCAACGTCTCTGATCATGAAATTGAAGGTTGTGATCACCGTGGATATATATATATATATATATATATATATATAT